GCCAGAAAATGAACCGGCCGGTTTAGACCGGTTTGGGAGTTGTTCAGTATTTACTGACCCGGTTCGAGTCCAGTACAGTATTTCAGTTAAATTTTCAGTTCAGTCAGTCCAGTACACCGGTATCAGTTTAGTCCGATTTTTCTTGTCAGTCAAGTTAAGTCCCGAGAATATTCCAGTTAAATATTTAGGTCGAGTCGAGCATCTTAACAGTTATTTTCAGTCAGTCTGAGCGTAGTACTTAGTATTTGTTTATTTATATAATTTTTACAGAGTGATCAGCAGCAGCACTTACATTATCAGTACAGGTGGGGACTCAGACTGAGTATTACATTACGTATAATTACAGCTATCATGCGAGGTATTTATATATCAGTTCCGCTTAGAGTGGTGGCCAGTTTGCGTAATTCCACTCCGAGCTCTAGTGGCTAGATCTGACCACTAGGGTGTGCACATGGTTCCGGCTAGTATTATTACAGTCGGCATACACAGTTTACGTCCAGTTTATACTGTTGACGAGCAGTTACAGATAAAGGCAGATATGCATGCATTTGATCATGATGATGCAATTATTGTAAATGTTTACTTTAGTATGAGTTTCTGCGGAGTACAGTGTTTATAGTACTCACGCTCCCACTATTATGATTCTTTTTCAGGAGACAGGGTCGGTCCGGAGGAGTGAGTGGAGCTGGTGGTCGCCGGTCCAGTACATGTAAATATGTATATATTTTTGCAGACTGTTGATATGTATATATTTGCCACGTTTTACTTCCGCTGACGTTATCAGACTTTCAAACTAGCGTGTAAATTTTCAGACGACGATCCGAACTTTCGGGTCTAGTTTTTTTACAGTATCACACGCTTGTTTTATAATGATAATCTGTTTTTCATAAATGAGTTTATAGTTAACGAATTTTTAGAAAAGAAATTTTTTGTGTAACATCCCGAGATATGTTTCGCAAAATAAACGTAAGCTTTAGAAAAGGATTTGCGAAAATCGCACTCTGATTTTAGTAAATTAGCGGGGTGTTACAAATTGGTATCAGAGCGCGTTTTTGTGTATCTGAATACTTTTAAGTCAAAAATTTTCAGAAAAGACCCGACCACGCTACGCTCACGCCTCGCCGACTATCAGGTAAGTGCTGAGTTTCAGTTTATATATATTTAAATGAATACTTAAGTCTATGCTCAGTAAGGGGTACCAGATTATTGACCCTAGAAACTAGTAAGATGCTCGAGTATTTTCAGAACTTAGTTAATTGTCCCAGTCATTTGATAGTTTGACTTTAATATTCTCAGGTTATTTAGCGACTCGTCAAGAGATCTGTGTTTTTAAGTAATCAGTCAGTTAATCTCTCATGTTATTTAATCATGTTAAATATTTCAATGTTCAGATGCCTCCTCGTAGAGAGCCAGATCACCAGGAACTCCCACAGGCCACAGTGGTCGCTTTGTTCCGCGACTACCATCCAGAAAAATTTTCCGGCCAAGGAGATCCTCGTGTAGTAGATGAATGGATCCAGGGTCTCGAGATTATTTTCGAGGTCATGAACTGCCCTGATCGTTATCGCATGTTATGTGCCCAGATCCAGCTGACCGGTGATGCCAGACTCTGGTGGCAAGCCTATTGGAGTATGCGTCCCGGTGAAAAAGACGGTTGTACGTGGGACCAGTTCAAGGAGCTGATCCGAGAAAAGTATTATCCCTCGTATTACCGAGCAGACATGGAGCGCTAGTTCTTGGCACTCACTCAGGGTACTCGTACTGTCGACGAGTATGAAAGAGAGTTCACCCGTCTCGGAGCTTTTGTACCTGATCTTGTAGGTACGGAGGCAAAGAGAGCCCACCGTTTCACCGACGGACTTTGCCCAGCAGTCCGCCACAACATCGTAGGCCACGGCGTTCAGACCTACGCCCGCGCAGTTGCCATTGCCCAAGAAGTCGATGCCAGTATCCGACGTGAAGCCTTCCAGACACCAGCCCAGCCAGTTGCTCAGCCACCAGCCCAGCCCAAAGTTGCCCAACCGTCAAAGAACCAGCAGAAGAGGAAGTACAGAAACACTCTTGATGACCGGAGGACCCGTCCCAGACAATATCCAGAATGCCCAACCTGCGGGAAACATCATCGTGGAGAATGCCTCGTGGGTCAGAATGTTTGTTTCTTTTGCCGTCAGCCAGGTCACTTCAGTACCAACTGTCCAGAACGACTTCAACAACAACAGCAACTTCAACAACAGCAGCCCAAGCAGCAACCACCTCGACCACAGCATCAGCAACGCGGCAGACAACAGGCTCGCGTCTTTGCAGTTGACCAGAGGGAGGCCGACCAGCACCCAGGTACCATGTCCGGGATGATTATTCTTAATGATGTGCCTGTCTATGCCTTATTTGATACTGGAGCGACCCATTCTTTTATATCACGACGATGTCCCGAAGCTATTGGGGTTCGTTCCACCACCCTTGTCGATCCTCTCGAGGTGAGTTTAGCCTCGGGAAGAAAGATAGTGACTGACGCTAGAGCCACCGATCTCAGCCTTTCCATCGGCGGCCGTATTCTGATTACTGATGCTTATGTTATCGAGATGAGGGATTTTGACCTCATACTCGGTATGGATTGGCTACTCGATTTCACGCAGATATTCGGTGTTACGACCGGGAGATTACTCTTTATCTTCCGGGAGATGATCAGATCACTTATTACGGCTCTAGGACTCGTACTATACCACATGTTATTTCTATGGCGAAAGCCAGAAAGATTCTTC